GGGGGGTTAAGGGCAGAGGGTGGGGTGGGAACCAGGTAGAGGGGAGCTATGGGGGGGAAAAGAGGAACAACTGTAATAATCTGTACAATAAAGATTAAAAATAAATAAATTCTATTTCACCTTAAAAAAAATACAGAAGTGAATTTTAAAGGAGGCATTGTTTAAAAGTTAGTTTGCAAGAATTTCCACTAATCACTCTAGACCAGCCGTGGGCAAACTACGGCCCGTTTGAAATGAATAAAACTAAAAAAAAAAAAAAGACCGTACCCTTTTATGTAATGATGTTTACTTTGGATTTATATTAGTTCACACAAACACTCCATCCATGCTTTTGTTCCGGCCCTCCGGTCCAGTTTAAGAACCCATTGTGGCCCTCGAGTCAAAAAGTTTGCCCACCCCTGCTCTAGACAATCCCTCGCTTTTAAAAAAGTTAATTTTTACAAGATATTTTAAAAGAGAATGTACCTTTTTTCTTTTGAACATTTAAGGGACATACAAATAGGAAGGAAAAATTTAAAATTATGAGTTTCTTCACAACAAAAAAAAGTATTAATGGGATTTTGAACATTTGGAATGTTACTAGAATTTCTAAAGTTAAAAATTTTAAATAATTAACCTAATTTTGATGCTTCTATACTCATAATCTGCTTTGCTGAAATCTACTACTATGTATTAGAAACTTTGCTGTTGGCAAAGAGTCTTTGTTAAGTGCTCTACAAACTATGTTAGATAAGCCTGGCTTATGTTAGTATTACAAAAGATGTGATTACCCTTTCTGTCCGATCAGCACAAAATAATCGAGTGTGATGTCTCTTCTGAACTACAATGTAGGTTATTCCAGGTTGATAGTCTTTCTCCAAACTGATACAGGCTTCTCGAATTGCTAGTAGTTCATAATATAATACCTAGAGAAGATGAAATGGAAAGACTTGACATAGCCATTCTCTTACACAGACTTCAAAGTAAGATAATTATTTAGTCTCAGTATTTCTTAATGTCATCACTTACAGCTAAATATACCTCTTTATTTCATCTTAATTATTATCAGAGCATGGTCTTAATAATCAAGGCTTATACATCCATAGTAAACATTTTAAAAGGAAGCATCAAATTTTGATTTTGGGAACTCTCAACTTAATTAAGGTTTCTAACTTCAGAACTAGACACCATATTATATACACAGTATTTGATTTAACCACAGTATGATGAGATCCCAGGCAACCAACCTGCCTAAACTGTCCCTCTGAAACACCATCCCGATAGAAGATGATACGAGTAGGTTTGAATCGAGTTGACTTATAAAATTGAATGAGAAGTTCTCGGACCATGGAGGCCAAGTCCTGGATGATCTCCTGTCGGGGTCTCTGAACTCGTACTGTAGCACAGTATCTGCTTGGGTGGGCATCCATACTACCTACAACCTAAGTTGGAAAAGTAAAGAAAAATAGAAAATTAAGATAATCAAGACTACATGATTATGAATTTACTGCAATTAAAAAAACTGAAAGAAAGTACATGGATTTCATTTAAATTTGTATTTTACTATAACCTTACTATTTACCATTGTTCATTTGGAGGGTAATAAAAAACAGATAATTCCCAGTGAAGAACAGAATAAAAGACCCAGTATAGGGTCAAAAATTATTTTCCTATAAGAAAGACTGCACTTTACATTTAACAATTAGATTCTAATTTTGAGATGTCGCTGGTACCTAATGATTAGTAAGGGGAAAAAAGAGACAAAAAGACGTACATAAAGAGAATAAGAGAAAGAAGATAAGTAAAAAAAGAGGAACCATGAAAACCCTTGATTTCTCTTTATATCTTTTACACTTTAGCAAACCACCCCAGAAGCCATACTGAAGACTCTGGCATCATCTTAGGACTGCTATGCTTTATAAATTTTAAAAGAATTTTACTTCTATTACTGCAATGTCCTAGACCAGAAGGCTTGAATCCATGGTCAAGTATTCCTGCATTGTATTTGTGTTTTTTGTCTGGTCCTAAGAGAAGCTAATCTTGGTTTTGAGAGTAGCTATCTGAATTTTCTATGTTGTGTCTTGTTTAATACTGTTATGTGTTTGGAGCAGAGGGAACTTTGAAGCATGAACTTGTAAGTTCACCGTGACTATAGTCACTTACAGACCTACTGAAGCATGATCTCTGGAACCTGAATATTTTAAAAATGTTTAAACATCATTCTAGGCTGCGAACCAGCTTATGGTAACTGTGCCTCCAGCTTCTCTCTCTTCCAGGGTAGTAGTTATACCAAAGTCATGCTTCAAAAATGGAACTCTGCAGTGCACTCAATGTTCAATGCAGCATTATTTACAGTAGCCAAGACATGGAAACAACATGTCCATCAATGGATGAATGTTACTATCATTTTCAAAGATAAGTAAGGTTTATTGGATTGTTAAAACTTCAAATTTATGTAAAGATTATTATACTAGATAATAAAAAATATAAAAAATCTTACAGTTTAATTTCTAAAATTCATTAAGTATGCCTAAAATATGTTCACATTTTCAAAAAAAAAATTTTTTTTTAATGTTCTAATGTAAGAATTTGCATTCACTCAAAATGTTGGTAGTTGTTAAAATCAAGTAATGTGCCCTAACTGGTTTGGCTCAGTGGATAGAGTGTCGGCCGGCGGACTGAAGGGTCCCAGCTTCAATTCCAGTCAAGGGCATGTACCTTGGTTGCGGGCACATCCCCGTAGGGGGTGTGCAGGAGGCAGCTGATCGATGTTTCTCTCTCATCCATGTTTCTAACTCTCTATCCCTCTCCCTTCCTCTCTGTAAAAAATCAATAAAAAATATATTTAAAAAAAATCAAGTAATGTTCAAGTTGGGTAAAATATCATATGGCTTTCTCTAGTTTAAGAAATACACTTAAAAGAATGGACACGGAAAAATTATAAGTATAGAAGTGGGCAAACCTATAGTAGGCAGATGTTAAAAGTAGGACTAAAACAAAGAATTTAGGTCAAAGTATTAAACTGGATAAAGGTGGGAGATATTTATATTGAAAAAAGTGCAACCCACCAATCTTATATGTAATGCATCTTTCTGCATCAAAGACAGTACTGAAATATGTAAGCAAACTTTTTGAATTACAAAGTAACTGAAATATACAATCATGGAGAAGTCAAATAGACAAATTAAAGTAGGAAATAAATTAAAGATTTGAGCAATATCATTAATAAACTTGATTTAATAGCTATATATGGAACTTGTAGCCCTCAAACCAGAGCAAAATCATTCTTCTCAAAAAATCCAAAGAACCTATGAAAGTTGACTTTCTCTCTATCCTATATAATAAAAGAGTAATATGCAAATCAACTGAACGGTGGAATGACCAGTCGCTATGACACGCACTGACCACCAGGGGGCAGATGCTCAATGCAGGAGCTGCCCCCTGGTGGTCAGTGCGCTTCCACAGGGGGAACGCCACTCAGCCAAAAGCCGGCTCACAGCTGGCCAGCGCAGCGGTGGTAGCGGGAGCCTCTCCCACCTCTGTGGCAGTCCTAAGGATGACCGACTGACAGCTTAAGCCTGCTCCCCAAGCCATCAGTTGGACATCCCCCAATAGCTCCTGGGCAGCCAGAGGGATGTCTAACTGCCAGCTTAGGCCCGATCCCCCGGGGAGTGGGCCTAAATTGGCAGGTGGACATCCCTTGAGGGGTCCCGGACTGCGAGAGAGCACAGGCCGGGTTGAAGGACCCTCTTGAGTGCACGAATTTTCGTGCACCGGGCCTCTAGTATATTTATAAAAGTGGTTTCAAAGAAAATATCATTAAAATTAAAAAAGTTGAAATCAAATGATCCTTTAAACTTTAGATAAGATAAATCTGCTTAATGATACTCACAGCAGCAATAGAAGGCTTCTTTCCATCACCAGCTGGTGGATGAGTGACATCTGCTCCCAAAAAGATCACTGGTTGCTGGAACACAGAAGGTCTTAAACACATTTTTTAAAAGAGTTAGATAATTCATTTTTTTCATTATCCATTTATCTGTTTCACACTACTGTAACGCAACTGCAAGTTGCTGACACAGCACAGAGAAGGTCCTATATAGACAGCTTCATAGGTCTGAAATACTGACAGCTTTATTCTCTTAGTTCATGAATCTCTGGCCAATGAAGTAAAAGCTGTCCCAGTGGGTCTATCCAATGTCTTATTCAGAGCAGTTTTTTGCCTTAAGTAGTGGTGATGGTGGTTGCAAAGGGAAACTGCTGCCAGCATTCTTCATAATAAGCATAAAATGCTAGACTTCCTCATATTAATCCACCATTTTGTATCAATCTTTCTTTAATGTACTTATATTTTAAGCTTATGTACTTATATTTTAAGCTAAAGAGATTTCTCAAGGCAAAAAAAGATAATTAACTATACACTAAGAGGGATTATGGGAGTTTACTACTCTTCCTCCCATGGCCAAAAATATAAATTTGAGTAACATATAATTAACAGTTATAAAGTAGTTAGTTCATTTTATCTCTGCAACTATATCCTTCAAGTGATTATTCCTTAGTTCTTGGGCTTGTTGATAACATTCTATATTCATCTCACTTATGAATCTCATCTCATATTTAATAGGAATAGGAAGTAGAGGCAGCAAGGAAAAATAGGGAAAAAGAGCTTTATGTCAAACACACATCCTTATTATAATGCTTATCTGTGTGCATACTGGTCAAGATATTTAAAAAAGCCCAAGCCGCTTCAACTATTAAAAGACACCTGCTGTTCAATTCTCCAAATAACAGTCTCTTCCCCAGCACCTGTTTCTAGGTCATTAGTCTCATACTTCCTTAGAGCTTAGATATGATGGCGATCCACAGTAACATCCATTGTCCCACTGACTGCAGCAGGGGTTGATATACTTTCTTAACTGATAAAATGAATTGACATCCTCCTTGCCCATCCCCCCACCATCCATTCTTCCCTCATTTCCTCAGTAAGTAGGCTTATGACATAAGTTGTAGATGACTAGCAAATAATAAGAAAATTCTGGGCTCTCCAGTAAGAAATAAAGCTCTCTATACTTTTTAGATAGGCAAGTAGTATTTTGCATACTAAGTGAAAATGGAAGTGGGAGGGGATTTTTAAAAGGAAATTTCTTAATCTTGCTAATCCAAACTCTTTTAATTTTTTGCCAAAATGTCTCCTCATCTCCCATGGCAGGATTCATCAAAGCTGTTTCTAAACAGATTTTAGATGTGACAATATATAGAAAAAATTAAGCTAAAAAACAATATTTTATCAAGCGATTGGCTTCACTTACCTTTGATGAGGTACAAGAATATTATTGATCCCTCCGAGTTTAACATTTATCTTTAGGCACAGATTTGAGAGAGTTTGGGGGGATGTTTTTATTACATTCTTGACTTGAACACACTGTGTAGCCATACCCAAAAGGGTATCTCCTACACGTTTCACCTCCGCTATGGAACAAATGCAGATACCTCTAGTTAGAAAAAAGGCTGAAAATCACTGTATTTCTCCCCTTTAAATACATTACTGTATTACAGGGCACCAAAATTACACCAACACTAAAACAATGCTGTTAAAACTTAATGTATACAGACAGTCCTCGGGTTATGTCGGACTCGACGTACGTTGTTTTGTGGTTACGTCGCCATCTTCCATTTATTTATAAAAAAAAAAAAGTTCCGTTATTTTGACATATGTACATATGTGCTTTATGTTTTTTATTATTTATTTACCACAAGTAAAGGTCAGGAATTGTTTTCTTTCTTTTAAATTTTTTTTTTTACTGTTTCACTTCATTACTGCTGTGTATGTGCTCCATGTGAGTGACGTAGGTGCTTACGACGACTTACGGCGAAAATCGCGTTACGTTGCGCCGTAGGAACAGATCTCCAATATAACCCGAACACCTACTGTATTGCTTTGAAGATCAGCTTAAGCATTTACTGATAATTTTTTCGACTGTTTTCTTCTTTGTGTACTAGTAAAAAAGTTTATTTTTATAATCCTGAAAACACTATAACCACAATAACTGATAAACCATGCAGAGAAAAATATAATACATAATCCCTTGTTAGCATTTTACTGTATTCTCTTCAGTAATTTTCTCATTTATATGATTTTAATGCAGTTATAATCCTGATATATTTACAGCTTTCAATCCTATTCTCCAAGATTTAATTTAAAAAATACAGAGAGACTACAGTGTAAAGAATAAAAGGCCCCTGTTCATTTCCCTCTCTCTGCCATTATAACTACCACAAAGAGTTCAGTGTACTTAACTTCTTACACAAAACACATGGGAAGCATTCTAAAATAAAAATTGAGAACACACTATACATTCTATTTTGCAACTTGTTATTTTCACTTAATAATACAGTATGTTCTGAATCTCAATATATAGGTTGCAGTTATCCTGTTTTTAAATGCCATGAGGTATCTGACCATTCACACACTGATATATTTTTAGCTTATTTAAGTTCTCATTATTTCAAATGATTCTGTGGATAGTATCCTTGTATATTTATTTTTGTTTGGATGTGTAACTATAGCCTCAGAATAAATTTCTACAAGTAGAACTGAGAGTTAAAGGTATATATATTTAACATTTTTAAACATGCTAACAAACTGCCCTCCTTAAATACTTATTCATTCATTCAACAAATATTTAATGTGCACCTAATCCATGCTAGTACTGTGCAAGGCTCTGGATATATACAATAGTGAGTTAATAGAGACACTGTTCCTGTCCTCACAAAGCTTATAGTGTAGTCAGAGAAACAGGCATTAATTAATTAAAACCCATAGACCTGTACAAAACAAAGAATGAACCTTAACAAACTGTGGACAATATGTTAATAATAATTTATCAATATTGGTTCATTAAAAGTACCACACCAAGATAGTATTAATAATAGCGAAAACTATGTGCAGGGGAGGGGAGGTATATAGGAGCTTTATATTATCTACTCAATTTGTCTCTAAATCTAAAACTGTTCTAGAAAATAAAATCTAGTTCTTTTCCTCCCTGGCTCCTTGAAGATCAGTCGCCATCATAAATGACACAGTAACTATTTGGACCAGGAAGTTCATGACCAACAAACTACTTCAGCGTAAACAAACGGTCACTGACATCCTTCACCCTGGGAAGGCAACAGCATCTAAGACAGATATTTGGAATAAACTAGTCAAAATGTATAAGACCATACCAAATGCCATCTTAGTGTTTGGATTCAGAGTCGATTTTAGAGGCGGCAAGGCAACTGGCTTTGGCATGATTTACGATTCTATAGATTTGCAGGACATGGCCTATATGAGAAGAAGATGCTCTGCCTCTTTAGTCATTAAAGAAATACGAGCCCTCGCCAATTTGGTTCAGTGGATAGAGCATCGGCCTGCAGACTGAAGGTCTGAGGTTCGATTCCAGTCAAGGGCATTTGTTTTTGTTTTATGTCTTGTGTCATTTTTTTAGTTTATTAAGTTTTTTTCTTACTGATTTTATAAATTCTTTTAGTTTAAACCCTTCTGTATTTTGTCACAACTTAAATATATTTTTAATTTCATAATCATCATTTTAAATCACTGTATAATATTTCATCAACATACTATAACTTACCCATTTAAAACCAATTCTTAAGTTTTTAAATGTCATTACAAAAGTTTTGTGCATGGAGATTTTTCTTTCTTTTGAACACATTTTAGAATTAGAAATACTGAATTGTAGACTAAAAACACATTTTATATTTTTTTTATGAGAATGATGCTATCAATTTCTACATTCCCTGCATACTCACAAGTACTAGGTATTATAATATTTAAATACTAGAGGCCTGGTGCACGACATTTGTGCACTGGGGGGGTGGGGGGGGAGGGTGAAGAGTCTCACCGCCCGGACTGCGCCCTCTTGCAGTCCAGGACCCCTTAGGGGATTGTCCGCCTACCGGCTTAAGCCCGATCCCTCCTTACTGCCCACCTGCAGCAGAGGCGGGAGAGGCTTCGCCACCACCGCTGCACTAGCCAGCAGTGAGCCCAGCTTCTGGCTGAGCGGCATTCCCCTGGTGGGAGCGCTCTGATCATCAGGGGGCAGCTCTTGCGTTGAGTGCCTGTCCCCTGGTGGTCAGTGCGTGTCATAGGTGACCAGTCGTTCCGCCGTTTGGTCAATTTGCATATTATGCTTTTATTATAGAGGATATTTGCTAATTTAGTAGCATACAATTTTTCTTTTTCTTTTTTAAACTTTTTACTTACTGATTTTAGTGGGAGGAGAAAAAAAATGTCAATTTGTTGTTCCACTTATTTATGCATTCATTGGTTGATTCTTGTATGTGCCCTGACCAGGGATCAAACCTGCAACCTTGGCATATCAGGACAATGTTCTAACCAGCTTAGCTACCAGGCCAGGGCTAAATTTTTAAATTTTTAAAATTAATTTGTACTTTACTGGTGAAAACTAACGTTTTCTTATATATTTAGTTGTTTTGTTTTTTTCTTGAGAAATTTTGGTTTATATTCCTTGCACATTAATTTAAAAGAATATAATAACTTTTTCCTTTGTTGAACACAATAAAATTTATATAAATATTTTAACTAATAATAAACTAGACTTTTATTGTCTCTATTTGCTGCAAATATTTTTCACTTTCTATTGGTTTCCTTTTGATTTTAGTTACACATTTGTGACATACAGGAATTTTAATTTTTATGTAGTCAAATCTAATAATTTTCCTTTGTGAATTCCATCATTTCTAAGCTTAACTGATTATACTCCATTCAGTAGTTTGAAAATTATACTTTGTGTTTTTCCATAATTCAATGATTTATATTTAACTTATTAATCTCACAAAAGTTTAATTGGTTTATAATAAAATAGCTAAACTTTACTGAGTTTTTACTATAAGTGTTTCTTCCAGGTCATTTACATATGAAAATTTATCTAATCCTTACAACTACCTTGTAGGGATTAGTTATTAACATCACAATTTACAGATAAGAAAACTAAGGTTTAAGTAACTTACCCAGATCACACAAAGGTACTATATCTGGCAGCACCTGGGTATTAAGCAGCACAGTCTAACTCCAGATCCATAGTTTGACTCCATAACCACTATATTATACTGATAATCAAGTGATCAATGGCATTTAAAATTTTTTTTTTTAGAGAGAGAAAGGAAGGGAGAGGGAGATCAATAGCATTTTTAATGATTCTTCCTTTAACCATTGTTTTTATTTGTTGTTGTTGAATTGAACATATCAAGATTTTATTGACATACTAGAGGCCCGGTGCACGAAATTCAGGTCCCTCAGCCTGGCCTGCACCCTCTCACAATCCGGGACTGCTGGCTCCTAACCGCTCACCTGCCTGCCCGCCCGATCGCCCCTAACCACCTCAGCCTGCCTGCCCGATCGCCCCTAACCGCTCTCCCCTGCCGGCCTAATCGCCCCTAACTGCTCCCCTGCCAACCTCATCACCCCTAACCACCTCTGCCTCAGCCCCCATCACCGTGGCTTTGTCCGGAAGGAGGACCGGATGACAGGAAGATGTCCGGTCTATCTGGTCTAATTAGCATATTACCCTTTTATTAGTATAGATAATAAAACAAAATATGAAGTTTAGAACTGGATCACTTAACCCTTTCTCTTCTTATTTCCTCCCAGTTTAAAATGCTTCCATCTCTTGATAGCCAGCATTCTCTTAGATCTGCAGTTGGGCTCAACGCATTCAAGCCTCAGCACAATCTTCTTGTAGTTTTAGCCTTTTTTGCACAAAATTGGTTTAGTCTGCCCACCATAGCCACTGTGCTTTCCGTCATAATGCCGCTTTCCCTGCACATAACAGAGAATCCTTGCCCTTCTTGTACTATGTGGTAACCCTGTGGGGTTGATGCTTGCCACACTTCTGACAGAATGTCCGGTGGGTTTTAGGAATGTTCACCATGTTTGCGAGAGCGCTATCGGCAGGGAAAGCTTAACCACTGTTTTTTTTTTTTTTTTTTAAATATATTTTATTGATTTTTTACATAGAGGACGGGAGAGAGATAGATAGTTAGAAACATCGATGGGAGAGAAACATCGATCAGCTGCCTCCTGCACATCTCCTACTGGGGATGTGCCCGCAACCCAGGTAGATGCCCTTGACTGGAATTGAACCTGGGACCTTTCAGTCTGCAGGCCGACGCTCTATCCACTGAGCCAAACCGGTTTTGGCTAACCACTGTTTTATAATGCCTGCTTTAACTACCAAAATTCTTTTCACCAGGTCTCTTCATAGACAAATCTACTGATTTGACTTTTTAAAATAACAATACATGGTTTTAAACACTGTAAGCTATAACATTTTTGCAAGTTTTAGGATATGTTTTAGCATCATTCTAAAAGGAACATCATATACTTGAGGAAAAATGCAATCTTAAGGTATTCTTACCATATACTGGCGTCTTCCCTGGCAAGATGACAATAATGAGCTGTAGTCCAGAGTACGTGTTCTTGAGATGCCGGAACATGGGCTCCACGCTGTCTGCCCCCTGCGCATATTTGCAAAAGCAAGGCTGGCCCTGGATGGGCATTCCTGCATCTTTAGAAATCTTACGCAACTGGTCCGTAAAACCCCTAGAAGGAGCAATCACTAAATATAAAACATTTGTCTAATCATCAATACCTACAAAGTAGTAATAGAAAGTTTGGGAAGGGAATGGAGAATGAAGCAAAGATTAATGTGCTCCATAAATGAAGAGGTCACCACACTATTGATGTTTAGGACAATGTGGGTCAGTAATCTATTTTGCAAACTAACACTACTATACAGTTGTGTAGCATTTTGTAGTTTACAAAGGGCATTAGTAATAAATGTGCTGATTAAGAGCTCAGCTCTAGAGTTACCATGAGAGGTTCTAATCCCAGTTCTGTTACTTACTAGCTTTGAAATTTTAGGCAATTTTTTTCAGTTTCTTTCATTTGTAAAATTATTACTTCCAGGATAGAGTTGGTGTGCAAATAAAATGAGATAATACACGCAAAGCACTTAGTACACTGCCCAAGACATGGTAAGATCTTGATAAATTTAAGTTACTGTACATTTTCTAAATTGATCAAGATTCATAAGAAAGAGGTAGGTCATGAAAAAAGAAGTGGTAGGTCAGGTATTATTCCCATTTTATAGGTCAGGAAACAGTTTCAGAGACATTAAGTATTTGGCCAAAGTCAAATGATTAAATTACAGAGTCAGAACTCTGACCTAGTCCAGACTTTCCTTCCATATTAGCTTTCTCAGAAAAGATTAAATAAGAAAAATGAAACCAATACTTAAAAACAAATGAGGTAGGCAGCACTTTTAAGTATTTTTACCCACACTGAAAAAAACAAACAAAAGACGAATAATTTCATATTCAACCAAAATTCTCCATTTAGCTTAGGATAAATGAATAGTGATGTCGAGGTTTAACAATAACTTTATTTGTTTTAAAAACACATAAGGTCCTAAGTCAAGGATCTCAGTTATCGTTGATGAAAAACACTCTGATTCCATGAGGGCAGAGATAAGGTTTGTAGGAATTCCCTTCTTCTTCTTGAAAAAAAATTGGAGGATTTTTCTTTGGTCTCTAGAGGTCACGTAAAATAATCATAGCATTGTAGTTAAACTGTCCTTATGACATTTTACTTGAAAGCAAGGGGATAAAAACTTTAGAGAAAAATATAGTAAGTGAACCTTAACACATACATTTAGATATATGGAGCCAATAAAAAGGAGTGAACAGAATTAAATAATTTTTTTTATTTTTCACATAAGGAAACAAGGTAAATTCTGATTTGACTTGGGTAAATTGGTCTCTAAATCACTCAAGAACTATTCGTTAGGGGGGCGAGGGCATGAGTGGGGGGGATGGGGGGTCATGTGGGGATAAGAACACATATGTAATAACTTAATCAATGAAAAATTAAAAAACAAACAAAAAAACAACAACAACAAAAAGAATTATTCGTTATGGGCATACTTTATAGGCTCTATTAATGGAGATTTAAATTAGATACCAATCATTTTATTAAGAAAATTAGATTCTAGAGGGAAGATAAATTTAAATAAATAATTATAATTTTTACACAGAAAGTGACAAGTGTAAATAAAGATATTAATAAATTCGTATGTTTAGAGTTAAGAGATTATTTCCAGAGTCACAAATGACAGAAGATTGAATAGCATTTATTTATTTATTCTTTCTTTTTACCCTTACCCAAGGACATGGTTTTTTGTTTTTTAAAAATTGATTTTGGAGAGAGAACCTAGACACAGAACCTAGAAACAGAACCTAGCGAGAGAACCTGGCTGAAGAACCCAAAGACAGAACCTAGCGACAGAACCTAGCGAGAGAACATGGCAAAAGATCCTGGAAAGAACCTGGCTACAGAACTTTGCTGGAGATCCAAGACAGAACCTGGCTGGAGAATCTAGCGAGACAACGTGGCAAGAGAACCTGGACAGAACCTGGCTGGAGATCCTGGCTAGAGGAACCTGGCTATGCTGATCCACTGAATGCTGGCCCTGTGTCCTTCCTTCTTCGCCGACTCTGTCCACACCTTTGGGGACCCCTGGACCTGCTGGGGCTGGACCCCAGCACAAGATGACACTCCAACTGACTGAGCCACACCAGCCAGCGCAAAGTTTAAACTTTCTTCAAGCACCTTCATTTAATTGGCAATTAAATAAGCAAAGTATAAAAAAAAAATTGATTTTGGAATGAGAGAGAGAGAGCAAGAGAGAAAATCTATGTGAGAAATGTTGATCCAGGGATGGAATCCAAACTAGGTATGTGCCTGACCGGGAAATTGAACCTGAAACCTTCTGGTGTGTGGGATGATGCTCCAACCAACTGAGCCACCTGGCCAGGGCAGATTGAATAGTATTTAGATGAGCAGAGATAGTAAAGAGTAGCATAAGTGGAAATGGAAAACAATGCCAGGGAGATATAAGAAATGCAGTGCTTCAGTTTTCTGTCCAAATATGTGAAAATGAAATGACTTCAGAGGCAGGTGAATTATTTAAAATGTCATACTGAGTTTTAATGTTATTCTTTGTCAAAGAGAAGTCTAAAAGTTTTGGAATGGGGTTAGTCACAAGAGGAATTGGCACTCTTTCACAACAGCACAGCTCCTCAAAGAAAAGTGACAGCAGAAGCCCCTGAGACTGCTAAAGGCCCAAAGACCTGAGAGTCCCAAATGAGAGGAGACAGAGAAGAAGTCAATATGATAAAAAGAAACATGGAAGGCAAGAATGGAGAGAAGGTCAGAAATAAGTCATTGTGCCCTAGCCAGTTTGGCTCACTGGTTAGAGCTTTGGCCTACGGACTGAAGGGTTCAATTCCCGGGCAAGGGCACGTACCTCGGTTGCAGGCTCGATCCCCGGCTCCAGTTGGGGCGCATGGGAAAGGCAACCAATCGATGCTGTCTCTCTCACATCCATGTTTCTCTCTGTCTCTCTGCTCCCTTTCAACTCTCTCTAAAAAAATGGAAAAAATATCCTTGGGTAAGGATTAACAACAACACCACAAAATTTAAAATAAAAAGCCTGGCTGGCGTGGCTCAGTGGTTGAGTGTTGATCTATGAACCAGGAGGTCACAATTCGATTCCTGGTCAGGGCACATGCCCAGGTTGTGGACTCGATCCCCAGTGTGGGGTGTGGAAGACATTGTGGATGGGATGTTTCTATCTCTCTCTCCCTCTCCCTTTCTCTCTGAAATTAAAAAAAAAAATTTTTTTTTAAAAAGTAGTCAACTGTATCTAATGCTGCACAAATTCTGAGAAAAATAATGGCGGAGACGAGACCATTAGAACTGATAAGAACAAAGATACTGGAGATCTTCCAGAAACCAGTTTCAGCAGAGCATTAAAATTTCTAGGAAGGAGAAAGAATGGAAGCCTTGGAAGCCTGAGAGAATAAGTTAGGTAAATTAAAAAACTGAAGATGTTTTTGTTTGTTTCAAATTTACTCATTCATTCATTATTTTTTTTACAGAGAGAGTGGAAGGGAGAGGGAGAGACAGAGTGAGAGAAACATCGATGTGAGAAAGACCCATTGATTGGTTGCTTCCTGTATGTGCCCTGACCAGGGCTGGGGATTGAGCCCTGGTACATGCCCTTGACCGGAATGGAACCCAGGACCCTTCAGTACGCAGGCTGATGCTCTATTTACTGAGCAAAACTGGCTAGGGCTATTATTATTTTTAATCCTCACCCAGGATTTTTTTCAATTGATTTTTTTTTAGAGAGAGTGGAGGAGAGGAGACAAACATCGATGTGAAAGAGATACATCGATTGGCTGCCTCCTGAATTCACCCCAACCAGAGCTGGGAGGGTTGAACCTACAATCGAGTATGTGCCCTTGACTGGGAATCTAACTGTAACCCTTCCGTCTGTGGGCCTATGCTCTAACCACTGAGCAACGAGCCAGGGCTTGTTTCTTACAAATTTATCTTTTTTTAAAAAATATTTTTTTTATTGATTTCAGAGAGGAAAGAAGTGAGAGAGAGAGAGAGAGAGAGAGAGAGAGAGAGAGAAAATCAATGATGAGAGAGAATCATTGATTGGCTGCCGTCTGTATGCCCCACACTGGGGATCGAGCCCACAACTGGGGCATGTGCCCTGACTGGGAATCGAACTGTGACCTCCTGGTTTATAGGTTGACGCTCAACCACTGAGCCATGCCGGCTGGGTGTTTCTTACAAATTTAAACAGAAGATTGGTGAGCACTTACAAATTGAGGGGAAAAATCTGGGGTAGAGGGAAAATGGTGGAGATGGAGGCCAAACTTTGAAAAGTAAGGAAGTGGAAATGAGGAGTTAAGCCACTCTTTTAAGGAACTCAAATGAGAAATAAGAATCTTATTTAATACTATTATCTCTATTCTAAAAAGGTAAAAATTGAAACATAATGAGATTAAAAAATTATCCATGGTAATAAAGCTAGGAAGTAGCAAAGTTGGGAATTAAACGTAGTTGCCACTACAGTCAATGATGCTCCTGCTATACCACCTAAGCTAGTCTATTAGGACAGTGGTCGGCAAACTGTGGCTCGCGAGTCACATGCGGCTCTTTGGCCCCTTGAGTGTGGCTCTTCCACAAATACCACGTGTGGGCGCGCACGTACAGTGCGATTGAAACTTCGTGGCCCATGCGCAGAAGTCGGTATTTTGTGGAAGAGCCACACTCAAGGGGCCAAAGAGCTGCATGTGGCTCGTGAGCTGCAATTTGCCGACCACTGCATTAGGATGTCTACAAGAATGAATTAGTGAATTTATGATGACTAACAAATTCAGGAATCTTCATCAAAATATTGAGAAGAAACATTTTTAAAGGCTCAGCGATTAAGTACACGTCATACTGAGGCAACATGGGTTAGAACATTAGCTGAATAATTTAAAACTGAAATACAAAATTTTAAAACAAAACGGTTTCAAAGCCAAACTAATGACAAGACTTACTTCAGTATTTCTTCTCTGCACTGCCTCTGTGTGGCAAAACAAGCTATAGCCCACATTTTGATTTCAACTCCTGTGTGGAACTGTTTCCCTCGCATGTCCCATACTCCATGGCTTGGTGTTGCTACTGTTCGATTCTACAGAAAAAGGAGAAATAGAAATACAGCAGAAAAGAACAAACACTTAATATAGTTTATTTCAATAGCTGATATATATATCTAATATTCTACATGGAATAGGTTATTCTAAATCAATATTATTTATACTTTATCATAGAAAAACAAAAACTCTACTAAACCCAAGCGAAGACACCTTGAAACAAAAAAATGTTGAAACAATAAAACATTTTCAAATTCAAGACTTAGAAATCTCCATACATAGAAACTGTTATGTTTGTAATTAAAAACTACCAAGAGGTTTACCCGTCCTCCATACTGGAGCATAGGTGCTGGAAGTACGCGTCCAGTTACATGGGCCATTTCATCCCGAACTTTAAATTGAAACTCCTGAACAAATGGATCTGTTTCATAATTTGCACTTCTTACCTAAGAGCAGAAAGTTAGTAGTTACTTAAAAAAAAAAAAAAATTCCTCCAAATCTCCTGCTTTACGTATTAGAATTCTCTATTTTTTTTCCTTTCACTGTGTCAACATGTTTTACAATAGGTTTCGTTAATGGTATCCTAAGCTATATATAGAGCAGAGAATCTTAACCCGGGGTTCACAGATCATAAATGATTGCAGGAAGTCTGTGAACCTACTGGTAATTTATAGAAAATTTAAATGTATTAGGTTGAATAATAAGAAATTTCAACTATTTATGGCACACGAAAATGGTAATTTTATATGATTAAACATAATATATTTTGGAGAGGGTGGTCTAGAGATTGCAAGAGAGAGAAATACCTAGCCTAAAATATACTATTAAAACTATGTAGAATAACAAATATTGATATGTAGAATAGCAAATATTGATAACTATTTTTCCTCTAATTACTATGGCTTTTTCCCAATTATTTGATTTATAATATATATAAAATTTACTTCAAGCCCAGCTGGTGTGGCTCCATGGTTGACCGTGGGTCCATGAACTAGGAGGTCACGGTTTGATTCCTGGTCAGGGCACATGCCTGGGTTTCCAGCCCGATCCCCAGTAGGGGGTGTGCAGAAGGCAGCCAATTAATGTTTCGCTCTCATTGATGTTTCTATCTCTCTACCCCTCTCTTTCTCTCTCTAAAATCAATAAAAAATGTATTTAAAAATTTTACTTCAATATTTTCAGATAAAAAGTACCATGTTGCAAAATTTACTTAATGGGATACACTTGAGACAGGTAAGAAAGCCAGTATGAAATACAGATTATAATTTTTATATATATTCATACATATAAAGAATCTGTCGTAATTCAGTGTAGACTTGGATCTCAGAGTGCAATTCATGTTTATAGCATGCTATATACATACATACACACACATATACATACATATGTGTATATATATGTATATATACATATATATACACATATGTATGTATATATATGTTTACACACACACACACACACACACACTAGAGGCCCGGTGCACCCTCTCACAATCCGGGATCCCTTGGGGGATGTCCAACTGCCGCTTTAGGCCCGATCCCAAAGGGATCCCAGTGGGATCGGGCCTAAAGTGGCAGTCAGACATTCCTCTCGTAATTCGGGACCACTGGCTCCTAACCGCTCGCCTGCCTGCCTGCCTGATTGCCCCTAACCACTCGCCTGCCTGCCTCATCGCCCCTAACCACCGCTGCCTGCCTGCCTCATCACCCCTAACCACTTGCCTGCCTGTCTGATCACCCTAACCGCCTCTGCCTGCCTGATTGCCCCTAACCACTCTGTGTGCCTGCCTGATAACCCCTAAATGCTCGCCTGCCTGCCTGATTGCCCCTAACTGCCTCTGCCTCAGCCCCCGTGGGTTCATCCGGAAGGACGTCTGGAATGACATCCAGAATGACAGCTGGAAGGTCATTTGGCTGTCCAGTCTAATTAGCATATTACGCTTTTATTATATATATTAACTGTTTTTCAAAACATTTACTTCGTCTCAGGGTAAAGATCAAACAAGGCCATTGTTCAAGCTTTTGAGTAACAATCCATTAAAAGTAACCTATATAATCTAAATATGTAAAAAGAATCTCCTCAATGATTCTCTCATCAATGATGTTTCTATCTCTCGCCCTCTCTCTCTGTAACCAATAAAAAAATATTTTTTAAAAAAGATTGCTTTTGAAAATGCTTTTAAGTTATTTTAGGTAATATTCATATTTCCAGACTTTTTCTCTTCACTTGGACAATTTAAATGATGCTAAAGATAGCCTGGCTAGGTAGCTCAGTTGGTTAGAGCATCGTCCCAATACAACAAAGTTGCGAGTTTGATCCCTGTCAGAACACATATAAGAATCAACCAACTGTTGAGCACATAAATGAGTGGAACACAAATCTAAAAAAAAAAAAAAATGAAGTGCTTTATTTAAAGAAAAAAGAAGAACATAAGATTCAGGTGCCTTTTATTTTTCATTTTGCCTTATTACATCAGTTTTATAAAGTGGTATTGATAACTCTTCCTTCCTCCCTATTTAGAACAATGGGAGAGCTTAGAAACCTTACGTGGTGAGAGCCATCTGATATTTCTTGAAAAAAAATTTTTTATTTATTAAATTGACTGGGGTGACATTGGTCAACATGAACGTATAGGTTTCAGATGTGGGTTTCTATAAGATCTGTATATTGTACCGTGTGACCACCACCCAAAGTCAAATCTTCTTTTGTCACCTTATATTAGAACCCTCTTCTCTCCCCACCCGTCTTCCCTGTCAATCACCACACTGCTGTTTGTGTTCACGAGTTTCAGTTTTATATCCCACATATGAGTGAAATCATATAGTTCTTAGCTTTTTCTGACTTATTTCACTTAGCATAATGTTCTCAAGGTCTATCTATGTTGTTGCAAATGGTGCTATTTCATCCTTTCTTATGACTAAGTAGTGTTCCATTGTGTATATGTACATCTTTATCCAGTCCTCTATCACAGGAAATTTTAGTATTTCTTTGTTCATTCTGTAGTTGTCAGTCTGATACTGGGGGTTAAGCAATCCTATGATGAGTGTTAAACCTCTCACTACCGCTAATCATGATACCTTTACTTTTCTTCCTTTCCCCCTCCTCTTTTAGGTGGGAGGCAATAAAGTTCCAGTTCACTAAATTGAAACATTAGTTCTGAATCTGTTCTGTATCTAATTAAAGAGTTTGGGATTAAATTAAAAGGGTCTAACCTTTCTCATAGAACCTACTAAGGTTTACCCCCAGAACACCACTATATTACTTCCATGATCCCTTATAATTCTCATAGTTCATAAAATGGTAATTAGGTATAAGCTGATAAGGAGATGGTTCTTTAGTAGCTCACTCTAATATATTTTTAATTACCATTTCTAAGGTTAAATACTAACCAATCTGCTAATTTCGTCTTGTCTATCTGGTGCAGATCTTGCTGTTGCTTTGATCATAGTGGAAGTCTGATTGTCCGTTAGCTTCTTGATACATCGTTGCCCTGCCACAATATTACAGACCTATAAATAAAAAAAAGTTTTGTACTAGATGTATATATCCTTTTTTAAATCTCAGTGCCAATTACATATGAAATTATATTTTTAATATACTTCATCAAACTATTACTTTTTAATATCATTTTAAGTAAAATAGTAAACAATACTGCTTTACAGTATGATAAGAGGTAAAATTTATAAACTTGAATAAAAAGGCTGAAAAGAAGTGTACCAAAATGCTAACAGTGGTCACATTTAGAGTGGTAGGATTATGGATAAATTTTTTCCATATTATTTTATTATCAAAAATTTAGAATAAAATAAATGTGAGCATATAAAGTTATAGGCCATAAAAGACCACAACAGAACGATGAATAAGAAGATATTAATAAGCAGCCTAAACACATTACTTCTAGTGGTAGATATGTATGTTTTTGCTCTTGCCCCACTTGCAGACAGGGAAGGTGTGGGTACTTCAGCTGAAGAGTATACTTTTCTCTGAAATACTGTGCTACTGTTCTCTCCACAGTTTGGCCATTTTCTAACTGCAAAGGAAAGCTGAAAAAAAAAAAAAAGTACACATTAACAACTCTTATCTCATTATGAGCCAGCAACACTCCCAATCCTTTAACTAGAGCAAGCTGCCTCACATCATCTCTGCTGACAAACACCAGCTTTTCTTACGTTTGATGACTGGCAGGCCTTCTTGTTACATTACAAACACGGTATTTCCGTCTCATTGTTCCACAATGAGTCACTTCAACCTTCAGACCTGTTCCCAACAAGAAAAACAAGGTTACAGACTGTCAAATGTAAAATATTTATAGCTACTAAATCTGTTCACTACTATAAAAACTCAAATAAATTCTAAACAGAAAATTTGTGATAAAAGCAATGTGATATTAACAAAGGATTTTATATAAAACATTGCAAATAATGGTTACAATTACAATAGACTTAACTCCAAACATCTTCTCTATCATGTCAAGCTCTACACATTAAAAAATAATATCATAAAATCTACAAAGCTTGTAGATCATGGGACAAAGTTCTCCATTAATAAAAACCTTGCTCACTTACTGAGTGAAGATCAGAATTTGGTAAAGCTCAAGAATGAAGACCTTCAGAGCTTTTTAAAGCAGGAAGGAAAAAAAAATCCTGGCCCTTTTAACGTTAAGTGGAGTGACAATTTTGATGAAGTATAATATAGTGACACAGCTTTTAATACTATTAGAATCCAAATGCAACCAAAAGAATCCTAGATCAGGTGACCCCTACTTTCTTATGGAATCACTGACTTCTTTGAGAATCCGATGAAAGCAATAAACTCGGGAAAAGGCACATAATTGAACATGTGATTTTTTATGTTCCTGGATTCTTGTAGCCCATTTGTGGACTCTAGGGGTTTGAGGATATACACCTCCTTTAGAAAGGGAAAGAAGAACTTTTAAATCACTGGCTAAAATTCTTTGGGATACATTTTCTTAAGCAGTGCTGTCCAACAGTTTTCTGAAATGATGGAATATTTGATATCTGTGCTAATATGGTAATCACTATCAATGTGTTACTGAGTACATCAAGTGTATAGCTACTTTGACTGAGAAACTGAAAATTTAATTTTAACAAGTTTAAATTCAAATAGCTATGTTTGCTAATGGCTACTGTATTGGCCAATGGTTTTAGAGCTATCTAGAGGAGTTAAACACATACAGTGGTTACTGCTCACAGATAAGCAACTCCACTTCTATGGCCTACACTCCAAAGGTGGGAATCTAAAAATGGGTAGATGGAGGGAAACTTTTAGTTCCCTGGTAGTACTCATAGTTACTTTTGTATTATTTCCCTTTTATATCTGTGATTCCTATAGTGCAGTGGTTCTTAACCAGAGGTAATTTTGCCCTCCAGGAAACATTTGGAAATGTTTGGAGACTTAACAAAAAATTATTTTTTAATTACAGTTTATGTTCAATATTATTTTGTTTTAGTTTCAGCTGTACAGCATAGTGTTTAGACAATTACATACTTTACAAAATGATCCCCCGATATTTCAAGTACCCAACTGGCACCATACATAGTTATTACAGTATTATTAATTATATTTCCTATGCTGTACTTTACAGACATTTTTTATTGTCACAACTGCAGGGTGCTATGGCATCTAGTGGATGCTAGATTTAGGGACATTTAGATCCAGGGATGCTTCTAAATATCCTACAATGCACAAGGCAGCACTAACTCCCACCCTCTGCCACGATGAAGAATCATCCCATCCAAACATCAACAGGGCCAAGGTTGAGAAACCCTGCTATACCATAACTTATTTTCCTATCTAATTACTAATTATAGAACCAAACATAAAGTTCACTCATAGTAGTGTTTTCTTCTGATATATCACCAAAAATTAAGATGTTAAATGAACACAGTGTCACTGTACCAGATTGGTATGGGTTTTTGAGTACCTAATTAAATCAGTGAGAAATAGTTTTTTAATAATTACCGTTATAAAACTAAAATTTCAGATCAATTAGAGCATTTACAATGCCTCTATATTATTAAGGAGAGTAGAAAATAAAATATTATCAAGGGAATGCCTTAAAAGAAGGAGATATCAATAATTTAAAGTATGTAAGATGTAAAAAGTTATGTTCAGGGGAAAAATACAATAGAAAATTTAAAACCAATTTCTGTTATCTTACATCACTTAGCAATTTGTTTACAAGTCTTCCCCTTGAATTAAAAAACTTATTAATAAGGTTTTACAAGCCTAATATGTAAGTTTGGACAAAAAATAAATTGGTACTCTTACATATATATGGTACTTTTACCATACACTTCCCCCAACATTTTGCTGTTTAACTATGAATTATTGCACAAAGAAACCACCTTAATATTTAGGAAAAAGTTCAAATGGAACCAAAGGAATATACTAAGGAAATTTATTCATTATATCATACTTTGTATCACTATTTAGGTTTTCATCAAATTCCTCCTGCCAGCTAAAAATTAAACTGAAATATATAGCACAAAACACATAACTTTGATTTTTAAAAAAAATTTAAAAAATATTTTTACTGATTTCAGAGAGGAAGGGAGAGGGAGATAGAAACATCAATGATGAGAGAGAATCATTGATCGGCTGCCTCCTGCACACCCCTACTGGGGATTGGGCCCGCAACCCAGGCATGTGCCCTTGAGCGGAATCGAACCCAGGGGCCTTCAGTCCTCAGGCCAACGCTCTATCCACTAAGCCAAACCAGCCAGGGCATAACTTTGATTTTTTTGAGTTACTGTGGTAGTAATACTCGATGTACTTTGAAGAGCCATCTTTAAAAAAACAAGTCTTCTTGATTTTGGAGAAAAAAATCATTAGCTTGTTAATTAGATTCAATTCAGATTTTTCTACCTCAAATCTAGGGTTATAGGTTCTTATGGATTAGACCCAAACCCAGGGTTAGGAGAAAGTTGAAATTAAAAAAAAAATGGATTACGTAATTCTCTGCCCAGGTCCCCCCCACCCAAAACCCTCCATCCAACAACAACAAAAAAAATTGGCTTTAATAAGTCAAATATTTAACCTATAAACTTGGCTTTACCTTCACTATAACATCAACTTTATAATGCTTTCTAGTCATTTTTTCAGTCATTTCTTTAGGCCCCTGAGCAGTTGAAGTTAAGATCGAGTCCATGCTCTTCGGGCAGCAGTTGAATCCTTGTTCTGTACATCTTGTATTTTCTGTGATAAAGTGGTGATATGAGTTGATAGCATAGTTACCGCAAAATAATCTAAGTGACTTCATTATATCAGAGGTGGTAACTAAGCAGCAACTCCACGGGAAACCATGGCATTTAGATGATCACTTATTGATGGCGGGTAATGCACTATCTCCCAACAATGCTAACTGTGCAGTTAATACAGATTATGAAAGAATAATGGTATGACTGCAGTAGAGTACATTTTCTTATTTTGGTACTTCAATTACTTGAGATAAATGGATGCTTATTTTCAAAGCAGGAAAGATTTTCCTTGTAATGCTTTATTACAATGATTACCTCTTTCCTGGTTACTAAATGGCAAAGAATGATTGACTACTAGAGCAAGCAGATGCACTAAGCTACTACTCTTAATCAAAACTGCTCTTGAAAATTCCCTTAAATTGCTGAAAAAAATTAGTGTATGTAGGTCTGCATATAAAACTGTATATGCATTTTTAAATGTATACAGGAATGTACATACATATAAAAAGTTAAATATATACAAAATATATACTTTAGAACAATATTAAAATTATTTTTGGGGGAAGACCATGTAGAGATGAATTAAATTAGTAAAACATACATATGATGCAAGACCACTATACAAATTTTAGTTACTAATTAAAAGAAGCAAGATCAATGATCAACTGTATAATGTACATAAAATAACTAAGTTCCAACTCTAGAACACATGAAACAGACTAGCCCCTTATCCATAAGTTTTCTAAGGAATAAAATATTCTGCTATCATTTCAGAAAAATAAGAAAGTCATTGTATTAGAATTTGTTCAAAGAATGATTCCAATTCTGAAGTACCAATGTTTTTGAAATAACCTTTCTATTTTTAACAGTATCATAGAAGCATTTTCCTATGAGACACTCTTACACCTTCAGCTAATAAAGGAAAGTATTAACAAAAAATTAGCTGGTATTGCTATTAATCCCACTACTTGGTACTTCTGTCACTGAAACACTAAGCTGTTATTGTAATGAATATTTTATAACTGATCTTTATTTTACTGGTAATGTTACATGAATAAATTATAATTAAAAAAATTTTCAATAAGTTTGTCATACTCATGAATTTTATAGTTAAGTTGTTCCAAATGCTAATTAATTCACCTTTTATCTCTTTGGTGAATTTTACCCGATGAGAATCAGTCAGAGGTCTTGGTTGCTCATCAATATTATGAATGTCAAGAACTTCACACATGAATTGAATTACAGGTTGTGCTTTGTAGAAGGCAGTGGCAGAAACTAGGAAGAAAAACACAAATAGTACAAATTAATGCTTCCTTAAAAAAATTCAGAAACAATCTCAGCTCCATGATAATGAACTAATTATAGAATTAAAATAATCCTTTATGTATACTTATATACTTAGAAAAATATTTCCAAAATTAAGCAGTTTCAATTTGACCTCTGACTAAAAGACAAGCACAAGAACAAAAAAGCTAAAAACTACAGTTTTTATAATCTCTCTCTTTCACCATGGTAACTGAATCATTCCTTTCTCTACTACATGTACAGAGAAGTGTTCTGGGTGTGAGACAAGACCTGTAAAGGGACAAAGAAGCCCTGAGACCCTTAGCAAATGAGAAAGTTATGTATTATTTCTTAAAGCTTTCAATGCCACTCTAGACTGTTTTATCTATTCTAGTGAGAGCTTTCCCTGTTTTGTACAGATTTGAGTAGACAGCTGTGTTAAATGTTATTAGTGCTAATGAAAGCTATAGATAGTAACAATAGTAAGGGGTATCTGCCCAATGTTATCTAGCTACAGTTGCAGTTTTCTAACCGTCAACCAGCATGATTTCTTAATCTTTGCTTTTGGTACTGGAAGAACTTCACCAATGGTTAGTATATCACCTTCACACATTTCTTAAACGCATACTTACTGACTGCTATTATGTGCTACACTAGAAATGAAAAAACATGCCCACTGTCTACCGGTGAGGGTGGAAGGGGTGAAAGAGGGGGACATGTGTAATACCTTGAACAATAAAAATAAATAAAAAAAAAAATTTTATTGATTTTTTACAGAGAGGAAGGGAGAAGGATAGAGAGTTAGGAACATCGATGAGAGAGAAACATCGATCAGCTGCCTCCTGCACACTCCCCACTGGGGATGTGCCTGCAACCAAGGTACATGCCCTTGACCGGAATCGAACCTGGGACCCTTGAGTCCGCAGGCTGATGCTCTATCCACTGAGCCAAACCGGTTAGGGCAAGATAAATTCTTTTAAAAAGAAAGATATGCACTCCTATGTTCACATAGCATTATTTACAATAACTAAGATCTGGAAACAGCCCAAATGCCCAGCAGTAGATGAGCAGATATAAAAATTGTGGTACATTACACAATGGAATACTATGTGGCTGTAATAAAGAAGGCTCTCTTACCCTTTGTGACAGCATGGATGGACCTGGAGATTATTATGCTAAGTGTAATAAGCTAGTCAAAGAAAGACAAATATCACATTATCTCACTTATATGTCGAATCTAATGAACAAAATAAACTGATGAACAAAATAGGTCCCGAAACATGGATGCATGGAACAGACTGACAGATCTCAGAGGGAAAGGGGGGGAGGGGTTGGGAGGGCAGGAAGAGATTAATCAAACAACTTATATGCATAGCCCATAGACACAGACAATAGTGCAGTGAAGGTCTGGGGTAGGTTAGGGGCAGGATGGAGGAGGGCAAAGGGCAGGAAATGGAGGACATCTGTAATATGCCAATAATAAAAATACATTTTAAAAAAGTTCTACCAAAAATTGATGGCAAATTTCAAATTCAACTTCAGTTAATAGGAAGTCCTACCTAGCACAGTAATTTAAGTTAAAAAACAAAAAAGGTAAAGAGAATGAAAAGGGAGAAACAAAATTATTATTCTCTACAACATGACTGTCTACCCAGAAAACCCAATATTCTATAGATAAATTACAGAATTAATAAGAGAGTTCAGCAAGGTTGCTAGATTTAAAATCAACATATGAAAATAAATTATATTCTTATATATTACTAACCAACTTAAAATGTAATAAAAAACACTTAAAATCACAACATAAAATATAAGGTACTTGAAATGAAATCCGAACAAAAGATGTATAAGACCTATTGAGGGAATAGATATCTTTACTATTGAAAGGTATTACAGAAGATGTAAATACATGAAGTAATATACCCAATTCATGTAAATTATCCCCAAATTAATCTGCAAATTCAAAGCAATTTCAATCAATATACCAACAGGATACAACCTTTACTCCCTTGAGAAGCTGAGATGGAAATTAATACAAAAAATCAGTAAAACATGAATATCCTAAACAATTTTTAAGAATAAGGTCAGTGCCCGGCCAGCATGGCTCAGTGGTTGAGTGTTAACCTATGTACCAGGAAGTCACAGTTTGATTCCAGTCAGGGCAAATGCCCAGGTTGTGAGCTTGATCCCCAGTGTGAGGTGTGCATGAGACAGCTGATCAATGATTCTCTCTAATCATTGATGTTTCCATCTCTCTCTCCCTCTCCCTTCCTCTCTGAAATCAATAAAAATATATTAAAAAAATTAAAGAGTAAGGTCAGTCCTATCAATCATCATGATTTTAATAATCCTATTCAAGTCAAGAGACTGTGGGGACAGACACATAGACCAGCAGAATGGACTTGAAAACCTACCTCATACTCTACACAAAAACAAATTCCTATTCAGAGAACTAAATATGAAAAGAAAAATAAAGTTTAAAGTAAAATATAGAGTATGTTGATCTTGGAGGTAAGAATTTCCTAAACAAGATACAAAACTACAAACCATTAAAACTATAAAAAACAAAGATTTAGAAAAGCGAAAAAAAACCCCTAACAACCAGGTTATAGATTGGTAGAGGATATGTGTAGTAAACATAACAAATGATTAGTATCTAAGTTCTTATAAATTAAGATAAAACAATAAAAGTGGTAGGCATTTCATAGAAAAGCTAAATGTCAAAAACACTGAGCTATCATTTTTACACCAATCAAGATGGGCAAAAAATATCAAGATTAGTAACACACACTGACAATCCAATGGAAGCTCTCATAAAGATTATAGGAATATAATCTGATACAATCAGTCAGGAGAACAAATGATAACAGATAGTAAATTTGAAGATGCGCATAATTACCAACTCAGCAATTCCACTATACTGGAATGTATACTAGAGAAATTCCTTATCTGCAAAAGGAGATATGAATAAGAATGCTTACTATAGCATTGTTTCTATTTTTATTTTTTAAAAATATATTTTTATTGATTTCAGGGAGGAAGGGAGAGGGAGAGAAACATCAATGATGAAAGAGAATCATTGATCAGCTGCCTCCTGCATGCCCCACACTGGGATCAAGCCTTCAACCTGGGCATGTGCCCTGACCAGGAATCGAACCATGACCTCCTGGTTCACAGGTTGATGCTCAACCACTGAGCAACACTGGCCGAACTGTAGCATTGTTTTTAATAGAAAGAATGGAAACAACCTAAATATCCATCAATTGAATGAATAACTGTGTAGTATATTCATTCAATTAAAATTAATGGGCAGGTTCTAGATTTCAGATAAAAAATTGAGAAATAAAATACAGATATTACTTGAGAGGAGTTTGGTGGAAATGAGTTATTATCAACAGTTAAATTGCTAGAATCTAGATATGTATAAATACAACTAAGGACTTTTTTTTTACAAAAATTGACTAGAAATCTAGAATACCAGTGAGATAGTCTTTCAATTTATGAGCAAGCCTATTTCTGAATTTATTAAGGTCATTTAAATTTCATTAAGGTTTTATAATATACCCTTATAACTCTCATGTATCTTTCAATAGACTTAAAATTTTTGTTGCTGTTGCAAATTTATCCTTTAATTCTTTGTCACTTACTAACTGCTGCATGTTTGTTTTTCAACTATGTTTATTTTTTTTAATTCATTGGTAGCAGTGTTAGGATTATTTAAAAAAAGGACAGGCTTGGAAATAAAATAGATTTTAATCCTAGGTCCAGCATTCACTAATTTCTATCCGTTTATCTGTAAAATTAGAAAAATACCTACTATTCATAGCATTAGGGTGGAGATTCAATGTAAGGTACCTACTTGTGCCCAGAACATGATAGCTCAATAGAGCTCCTTTTCTCATTTTTGAAGAATTGTCTACTCATGTCTTTTGATCTACTGAAGTCTTAATTCTAGGCAAAATCATTTTGTCAATGTAAACACATTAAAGGTGTTACATGAGAGAATGTTCCACAAAAAAGAGGTTAGGATTTTTAAGTTTGCTTTTTTGTGTGTCAAAATTAAAAATTTATGTTAGGACACAGCTGAAATAACAAATGTGGGGGAAAAAAAGAAAATAAGAAATATCTGCCATATTTAAAAATAACTAGGAATACATGTATCAAAATAAGTCAAGGTTCAAATGAATAGTATAAAACAAAGCAGTAATTAATGTTGGATCATGACAAAAACATAACCACAATATATGAACTATTTCAGCCCTGACTGGTTTGGCTCAGTGGATAGAGCATCGGCCTGCGGACTGAAGGGTCCCGGATTCGATTCCGGTCAAGGGCATGTACCTTGGTTGCAGGCACATCCCCAGTAGGGGGTGTGCAGGAGGCAGCTGATCAATGTTTCTCTCTCATCGATGTCAGTGTCAGAGGTATACCAGCCTTATAAAATTGAGTTGACAATAAAGTATTATTTAAAAAATAAATAGAGTTAAAAACCTTTCCTTACTTTTCTGAATGAATTGGTGCAAGATTGGTATTATTTTTTCTTGAATGTTAGATAAAGTTCTAACATTTAAGAAAAACAAATAATTTGGGACTGGGTTTTGTTAGAAAGAATGATGAATTTCAATTTCTTTAATAGATACAAGGCTATTCAGATTTCCCTTTGAGTCAATTTTTATAAAGTTGTGTTTAAGTTATAAAATTAATTGGTATAAACTTGTTCATAACATTTTATTAACCTTTCAATTTTGAAGGATCTTTAGTGATACCCCTCTTTAATTCCTGATACTAGTAATCTATTTTTCTTCATTAGTATTGCTAAGAATTTATTGATTTTATTAATATTTAAAGAAGAACTAACTTTTGGCTTCTTTTTTGTTTTCTATTTAATTTTTGCTCTGATCTTTATTATTTCTTACTTTCTGCTTACTTTGGGATTTAATGTGTTCTTTTTCTAGCTTGGAACAAGAGCTTTGTGTGACAGTCTCCAAAGT